ATGCTTAATGAATTCTGATTGAAAATCTACTGAAACTCATCTGGAATCTAAAATGATTCAGTAAATTAACACTAATGGAATATTCATCATTTTATTCCTTTGAAACATTTTAACTTTGATTGATTTACGTTTATTTTCTAAATTTATTCTGTTAAAATAATTTATTAATAAAAGTAATTCTTGATGTAATATCCAGGTTTGTTCAAAGATGCTGCAGATGCTGATGGCTGTAAGCAGGAAGGATCACAAGAATTACAATTATTCAATATATCTTATAAAAAATGTTAATATAGTATGCTCTATATTTCTTAAATCATATTTTGTTTTGAATACAAAATGGTAAACATTTATTTAAAAAAAGAAAAATAAGAATTACATTTAAAAATATTTATTACAAAATATTTAATTTAAATAAATAAAATGTTTATTTAGATAAAATATTGGTATTAAATATATAATAAATTGTTTTTTATTAAATATTTTTAATACAATTTAAAATATTAATTTTAATTAAAATAAATTTATTGCAATTAAATTTAGTGTATATATCTAAGTTGTATTTAATGAATGGATCATCTTTTTCTAGTCGCCACAGAGAGCAAAAATAATTCATTTGTAATTTTTAAAATAAAATAGAAATTAACTGGATGGATTAAAAGTGTCTATAGATATTAAAATATGATGCTATAAGTTTCTTGATTATGTGCAGATTTTTCCACAAAACATTTAATGAATGAAAGTTAATGTTTGGAAATAAATAATAAACAAATGACAGAAAAACCAAATAAAAACTCAGCAGCAGCTGAAGGTTGACCAGTATGAACATTTATTTCTGGAAAGGTTACAAATCGTTTCCAAAGAGTTTCTACTCAGAGTAAGATATGTTATTCAGATTTTTCTCTTTTCCCCGTACAGTCGTTGAAGCAATGAAAGTTTATTTTTTAGCGTCCTCTGATCTGTTTTCCTATGGACAGCCGGAAATGGCGGACTAAAGGATGCTGCGTGTTCCTCAGCTGGGGACGGCTGAACTTTATTGGTTACAAGTTTCTTCTTCAAACAGCAACGTTGAAGCGGAGCGGCGATTAACGGCGACCCAGAGGAAACGTAAAGGGATGACGCAATAATAAATGTTCCAGAATGACCATTTGAAATGAATGTTTTCCTTCAAGTTCTTGATAGATTTATAATTTACATCAAGACAGACTTCAGGAAGTAAATCTGTTCTGACTTTACTGATTCATCAAGAACAGAAAAATAAATAAATCGGAGAAACTCACATGCTGCTGCAGTGTGGAGATGAAAAACAACAGAAACACTGAAGAATCGGGCTGTGAATGAAACTCTGATAATAAAAACATTCCTAATACTGTTACTGCATAGCTCAGTGAAAAGCACTACCTCATAAATTAAATAAATACGCAGCAGAAAGACGTGACGGCATCATTATTTGCTCTAGCCCTTTTCACAGTTAGCTCAAAATAAAACAGGCTGGTCGTCAGCTGAGCTACGTGGCCTGGAGGATGAAATGTGCAGCTTTAATCTGAAACGGCGGCGGGATTAGATCTGCCAGAGAACGGACGTGCAGATTAAATTATCTGTCTGAAATGAAAACAGTCTATTTTTGTTGAAACGAAGGCTGGTAATCATTTAGCCGAGGTAAATTACCAAAGGACCTCAAACAAGAACATCTTAGAATAACAGCAGAAATATCTGGCAAAGAAAATCCTCCAACTGAACTACAAATATTTTTTCTTCTTCGTCTATTTTGGCACAAAAACCAACATATTTGACCAGCTGTGTCCAAAATGCAAAGAAAAAAACAAGAATGGAAGATCAGCTAAATTAAGGAGGTCACTAATATCAAGCTAGCTAGTTTTAGCTAGTTAATGCTAAAGCTAAGTGCTTTGACTGTAATCCAAGATTGGTTTTCTGTAATAACAGTTTCAATTTTATGATAATAAATAATCCTACACCTAAAGTGGAGTAACAACAGTTTATTATTTTTTAGTGTTTATACGATTAAACTGTTAAACATTTTATATTTATTAACTTGTAATTTATCAACATGTTTCAGGGAAAAAAACTAATTGGATAAATTAAGGTTTCAGGCCAAATCAAGTGAAAGCTAGCAGCTAACATAGCTAGTTTAAGCTAATGCTAATTTTAGCATAATATGCTAGCATTATCTACAACTATAAATGAGATTCAATTAAGTAAACAGAAGTATTGTTTTGCTATTTCACATAATTACATAAGAAAGCAGAAAAACGTATTAATAATGAAGTTTGAATGTTTCTGTTCTACCAAAGGTTTATTTCATTCGAGTTACTTTTCCTGCGATAAAATGCTGTGATTTAACTACACTAATTTTACCCATGTTTTTGTAAATAATGAACACACAACATTCTATTTTGAGAAAAAACTGCGATGAAATAAAATTAATGAAGCCACAGTTAATAAAGTTAACTGTGGCTAATCTAAACTAGAGCTGTGTGTCTATTTGGTGTAAATATGTTATATTTATTTTTAACTCATCCTACATAATTACATATTAATAAATAAGTTAGTCAGTGTTTGTATACCAAATGAAGTGAATACTAACTGTTAGCTAATTTTAGCATAATATGCTAGCATTATCTAGCTAATTACACCTAGGTTAGCTATAGTTAGCATAAACTAAAGGTACGTTTATGTGCTCATGTTTGGTCTATAACTTGTACACTGAATGAAAATATTATTGTCATTCTTTCGCACAGTTACATAACAAAGCAGTTAAATCAGTTCATGATGGAAACACATTTTTAAAATGTTTATAAACTAACTTTACTAATTTCTTTTTTTGCAATTTGTGGTTCAATCGCATACTATTTTTATATTTATTGTATATATACACAATTTAAAGCTAGCTGCTAAGATAGCAGAAGTGACGTCATTAGCAGAAGCTAACTTTAGCATTTTGGATCCCTTTGTTTCAAATAACTGAAGATATTGAGGTTAAACTTACTTGGAGTTATTCTTTCAGTTAGTTTATTTCGTTACAGAAGAAGTCAAGTAAAATTGTTTGGGTTTTATTTGTCAAATAAAACTAAATGTAGCTATCAAGTCAGCAGGAGCTAGTGTAACCAAAGCTAATTTTACCACCAATTTTGTTATCTAGAACTTACATTTAATATAATATTATAAATTCTGGTGCCAGTTTGAATATTTCAATCACATTTTGGTTTTCAGTATTTAATTTAGCATATTTTAATAAAGCAAATGCAAAACAAATAAAGCAACTAAGACCAGCTGATGTTTTTGGCAGACAGCAGATTATAAAACTTTTAACGTAAACGTTTTGTTAATATGGAAACACTTTAACACACAAATAAATTCAGGACAAATGTCTGGTTTCAAAAAGATTCACAAGATTTTAAAAACTCAGGTTTGTATCTAAATGCTTCCCTGTTAAATAAGAAAATGTTGTAAATGTAAAACTTTCCAATAAAACAGAAGTTTATTGTCATAACAATGTTTCTCATTTTAATATTTTTTTTATCTCTTTATGACAATGTTTCAATTTTCTTGTTAAAATGAGAAATAAGATTTAAAACTTGAAATTAGAAACTTGTTTTAAGATGTTTTATCTCTTTTTAACATGTTTTTGTTCTCATAACATTTTCTTTATGTTTTAAACAAGGTTTTCTTGTTTTAATGAATTTTGCATCTATTTATAAAAGTTTTCTTGATTTACATTCTAGGAAGTTTCTTATTTTATCTTGTTTTAACCAGAATCTCTGGTTCTAATGACATTTTGCTCCTGAATTTATTTCCAAGCTCTTTCCTTTTAAGGCTTCTTTTGACACATTATGGATATTTAAGTAGCAGCAGTCATTCGTGGCCATCGAACTAACATTATGAGGATGTGAGATGATAATCTCCACTAGTCACAGATTCCATCCCCAGATTAAAACGTTTTTATTCCCATCAACAATCAGGTGGGAAATAAACGTCCAAATGTTCTTGAATGAGGTCCAGATTTGTTGAAATGCCCCCAAAAAGCCCAGATCTCGGGTCAAACCGGGTCAGTTTCTCTCCTCCAGAGCAGGAAACTATTTACACTCACATTGAGAACCGATAAAGTGCAGGAATGTAAACAAAACCAAACGGGCCGCAGCGCAAATCCTAAATCTGACGCCGCGGTTTCCTCAGTGCGGCGGCGGGGAGCAGAGACGCGACGAGGGATGAACGTGTTTGTGGCTCGGTGGGAAACTGGGACTGAAAACTGGAACGCACTGGAAGCCAAACTGGGACCAGACGAGTCCGAAACCACCGAGTTCAGCGACGCTACGGAGTATCGTGTTGAATATCTGATTCGTTTTGCTGGGTTTAAAGTATTTCAGCTAAGCTTGAAAGGTGTTCAGGAGGAACCAGAACCAGAACCAGGACCAGGACCAGAACCAGGACCAGAACCAGAACCAGGACCAGAACCAGAACCAGGACCAGAACCAGGACCAGGACCAGAACCAGAACCAGAACCAGGACCAGAACCAGAACCAGGACCAGAACCAGAACCAGGACCAGAACCAGGACCAGGACCAGAACCAGAACCAGAACCAGGACCAGAACCAGAACCAGAACCAGAACCAGGACCAGAACCAGGACCAGAACCAGAACCAGAACCAGGACCAGGACCAGAACCAGAACCAGGACCAGAACCAGGACCAGAACCAGAACCAGAACCAGAACCAGAACCAGGACCGAACCAGAACCAGAACCAGAACCAGGACCAGAACCAGAACCGAACCAGAACCAGAACCAGAACCAGAACCAGGACCAGGACCAGAACCAGGACCAGAACCAGAACCAGAACCAGAACCAGGACCAGAACCAGGACCAGGACCAGAACCAGGACCAGGACCAGAACCAGAACCAGAACCAGGACCAGAACCAGAACCAGAACCAGAACCAGGACCAGGACCAGACCAGAACCAGGACCAGACCAGAACCAGGACCAGAACCAGAACCAGAACCAGAACCAGGACCAGAACCAGGACCAGGACCAGAACCAGAACCAGAACCAGGCTCTGATGCTTCCAGTGCGTCTCTCCAGTCCAAACGTAAATGAATGGAACCTTTTTGTTTCCTGACATCACTTTTTCCTTTAATTTTCTGAGAAAGGGTAACTGTGAAAACGCCCGAGCCGCCCGGCGCCTCACCTGTCGGTAAGCGCTGGCCGCCGGGTCGACCCGCCCGGAGACGCCTGGTTCCCGCGCCAGGCGGCCAGTCCGTCGGTACAAAACGTGAAGCGGACCTCAGCTGCAGCGCCGGACGTGCTCCAGCACGTACTCTGGGAAGTGCAGGCTGCATACCTGCAGGCCGTCCAGTTTGCAAGGCATCCTGGGATATTCGTCCTCCTTCCACTTGTTCTCGTCCGGGTCAAAGGTGAGGATGGAGTCACTGTAGTGGCCGTTGTAGCACAGGCCGCCCAGCACCATGATCTGCCGGTCCAGCACCGCCACGCCGTGGCCGCTGCGGCCGATGGGCATGGAGGCCAGGATGGTCCACTCGTCCGTTTCCGGGTCGTACACCTCGGTGGACGGGCAGCCCTGCGACTCGAAGGAGGCCCGCAGGATCACGCACACGCCGCCGAACACGTACAGCTTCCCGTTGTGGGAGATCATCTTGTGGAAGCAGCGAGCGTAGTTCATTTTGGACTTGTTCTCCCAGCAGCTGGCGTGGGTTCCGGGCAGCAGCGGGCCGCGGGCCGAGCGCGTCCTGTGGGAGTCCGACCCGCCCGACCCGCCGCCGCCGCCGCCGGCCTCCCGGCCCGGGTCGAACACACACACCTGCTTGGAGGTGGAGGAGGACGTGATGCCGCCGGTGATGTAGAGCTTCCCGTTCAGGACGGTTCCCTCGTGGCCATACTTGTTGACGGGATACGGATCCACGAACTCCCAGCGGTCCTCTGTGATGTCATAGCGCTCCGTGGAGTAGAAGGTCTCGTCTCGGGTTCGGCCCGCCACGGCGTAGATGAACTTCCCGATGACTCCCACCGCGAACTCTGACCTACAAAACCAGCAAAATGAACAACCATAATTTACCAGAACTAAGTAGCGAGTGGTTCTGATAGCTGCTAATTATTCTGATGATCAATCGGCTAATCTATTGATTACTTAATCATTCTGACAACATTTTACAGGCTTCGTTACTGCTAGTGTGTTCTTCCGGAAAATTATACCTTTTCAAGAGTCTTTATGCTCAAGTTAATCGATTAGTCAATTAATCCGTTACTAAATTAGCTGATGGAATAATTAAGCAGTTAATTAATTATTCCAGTTAATTAACTCCTATTATCCGATTAATGTTACGGAACTAATTAAATTTACAAAATAAAGTTCCTCAGATTGGATGGAGAACCTCTGAGCATCATCAAGATAAGGCCGAATTGTTTGCTTTCAGAGCAAAGGTCAAAGTTCATAGGAAGGAGCTCTGACCTGGGAACAGACATGTCCGCCATGCGCAGCCACGAGTTCTGCCGCGGGTCGTAGCGATAAACCTTGGAGGAGGCGTGAAACTCGCCGTCGGGGCCCAGCTCCTCGCCGCCCAGCAGGAAGGCGAAGTTGTTGACGATGGCCAGGCAGTCGGGTCGGAGCGGCACCTGAGGGCCCTCCAGCTCCCACCACACCTGAGACACAGCGCCGTTAGAAACACACCGCTGGGCCGACAAAGCCTTTAAATACACGAACCCAACACTGAACAAACTGATGAAAAATGAAGAAATTAAATCATTCTGTGAGCAAAAGCTGTTAAACATTCTGAATTTCTGGAAAATAAGATTTTTATAGCAGAGATGTTAAAAGATCGTCACTTTTAGGTTCTAACTTAATAAAACTGTATTAGTTATAATGAATGCACAATAATAAAGCATGTTTATGCATCACTAAGCCCAGTTCATTGTAAAATACTACAGATAGAATGAAGGATAGAAGAATAAAAAATTATCGAACAAACCATGGAGCAAATGGTCCAACAACAAACCGAACGAACAAAACGAACATCGAATAATCGACCAGCAGATACTGAAAGTCGTTGAGCCAAACAGACGGCGCTGCGTCACCTTCGGCCGCTGCAGCAGCAGGATCTTGCTGTTCACCATGCTGTGGCCGATCATTCCCCTGAATACGGCGGTCTGCGGCCGGACGGAGCGAATGCGGTTGGAGCGCGTCTCCAACAGCGGCTGCTGGTTGACATCGTGGAAATATCCGAGCGCCTGATCCACTTCCTGTCTCAGCTGCCTGGAGTACCGGTAGAACTCCGACGTTTTCACCTGAGGAGACAGAAACCTCAGCATGGACACCTCCGAGGAGCCCTGGAGCCGGCGTGGCGCGGCGTGGCGCGGCGTGGCGCGGCTCACCTTCTCAAAGATGTCCGCCGGCGTCATGAGGCAGAAGCGGATGGACTGCACGATGGTGTCGGTGTGCCTCCAGCGCCGCCGGTCGTGTCTCAGCCACGCCTGGACGGCTTCGTACAGCTCGATCTCCGGGTAGCGGCTCAGAGCGTCGCTGTTCAGGTAGGCCTGCGCCAAAACGCAACAGGAGAAAAAACATCAGAGAAAGAAAACGATTCCAGACACAAACCCCAACAGCACCGAGCTCCAGAACCCGACAGCAAACCCAGACAGACAAAAAGAAACAGCTTGAATACAAAACACTGTTCAAGATTAAAACAATTCATGGGATTTAAGTTATTATTTTCGCATTATAATAAAATTCCTCATCTATTTTCTGGCGCCCCCTGGCGGCAACAACTTTAAAACGCACCACAAAACACAATCCTAGGAATCGTGAATTGATTTAAAATGCTCAAAAATGTATTGAAATATCAACATTTTAAAAATATTTTTAAGCCAGGCAGCCAAGCTAACGAAAAGTCACTTAAATCACTGAATTTAAAGCGTCATAATCCTGTTTTTGATTAAATCTGATACAGAAGGGAACCTTATAATTGTTTGTTTGCGTTTTATTTTCCTCTCATGTCTCATAAACAGAATGAATAGAAAAATTAATTTCTGATTCATATTGTCAACCTAAAACTCTGCCTCTTCACTCCATGATGCCAACAGATTCATTAAGCCTTGCAGAAAGTTTTATCAGCTAAAAACTGTTTTTATGTTACGATCAAATCAATGATTGAGACGCGGATGGCATGAACATCTCAGATCTTCTGTCAGACCTGGAGTCTCTCCAGACTGAGGTAGGACAGGAAGTCGGCTCGGCTCATCAGAGGGACGAAGTTGTCGAGGAGGAAGTTGTCGAGTTGCTCCTGGACGCCCTCCACGCCGACGCTGAAGTCCTCCAGGAGGCGCATGACCTCGGCGCAGTTCTCCAGGCAGATCTTAGCCAGCAGGAAGGAGCAGCAGAACTCCACCGCCTCCGTCAGCTGGACGTACATGGCCGCCTGCAGCGACACAAACACGTTTTTTTAAGCGGCGAGTTAAAGTTTCAGGTTCTGGGGAGTCGCCACAGAGGCGCGGATACCTGCAGGATCTCCTGCACGGTGGGCATGCTGAGCTCCAGGGAGCCGTAGTACATGAAGCGCAGGATGTGGCCGAAGCCGGCGGCCGTCAGCCCCTTCATGTGGATCTTATCCTGGTCCCGCTCCCGCATGTCGGCCGTGAACATAACCCGGAAGTAGTCGCTCTGCGTGGCCAGCAGCGCCTTGTGGGCCTGTGGGCGGAGTCAGCACACCTCAGTTACCGTAGCAACACCAGCTGGCAGAAACTGATTATTAATCAATGATTGATTAATAATCAATCATTATTAATTAATGATTAATAATGATTATGATTGATTAATAATCAGTTTCTTTGGCCAGGAACCAACTATACTGACAATTAACTGCTCTGATTATCAATCTATTATTTACAATCATTTGATTGTTCTGGAAATTTATCCACTAGTCTGACGTGCAGATGACAGATCAATCAATGCTTCTGATGATTGATTATTCTGACAACATATTTACAGACAGGCTGGCTTTTTCTTAAACATAAAAGAAAACTGTACAAACTTTTGAACAGTTTCGTCTGAATTTCTGCTCTGACTGTTGAGCAAACTGGATGTTTTAGTCTAGATACTCTAGTTAAATTTAATTGATTACCCAAATATTTTATGATTATTTCAATTATCGATTAATTACTATTCCAGGTGTCAAAATTAACATTTAATTTCAAAAACCAATTTTCAAAATCGGTTTTAAGAATAAAATTCACTTTTGTTTTCAGTGATGCCTGAATCTGCACCTGTCTCAGTTTGTTTATGGTAATTTATGCTAATTGCTGCTTAATTATCAACTTTTACCTGGAAGTGATGCTCCTCTATCAGCAGCGTGACGTCCAGCAGCAGACGCTCCTCATACAGAGCACGGAAACCCGACGACACGCTCCCATCATGCACCTGGGACAGGTACACCTCCACATCTCCCCCCGACATAACACACCTGAGGCAGGAGGAGAGCGGAGGAACACAAGAGTCAGAAAACAAACAGAGGCAGGCCAGCTGGTGTGAGCGCTGCATCAGGCAGAGGCGGGAAAACGCAGTGAAAGGAAGAACTTCAGCAAACACACGGAAACACACACTCACCTCTGATTGGCCACGGGCATGTCAGAGGGGGCTGTCCGAGCCAATCAGAGGACAGTGCCCCTTGTGTCCAGTAGATGCTAACAAACTCCCTTTAGTGAGCGCCAATCACCTGAACGACAGAGCCAGAACAGGTTAAAGGTCACCGGGTCACAGCGCGGCTGAACACGTCAAGTTTAACGTCAAGAAATAGAAAGAAGGAGAAACTGGACCAGTTTGTTTCATGCATAAATGTTTGTTGTTGCATTAATAACTGAAATAAAAACAGATTCCTGAGCTGCTGACCTTTATTGACCAGTCAGTCAATAAAGGTTTAATTGTGTTTATGTCGGCCATGTTGGTCAGGTCAGGACCTCAAGCTGCCGGCAGCCTGTGGGAGAGGAGCAACCTGCCTGTTACAGACTTAGCAACGGAGCTCAGCAGGTGGCGCTGTGGAGTCATCAGGAAACCCAGAGAGTCTTAGAAACTGAACTATGCCTGCTTTTCCTCAAACTTTTAAGTTTTTATTTACTTTTTGGCAGAACAAACATGTTGAAATAAGCCAAACCTTCTACATTCATTTTTCTACTTACGCAATAGAATATCAGTTTAATCCGGTTTCCATGAGAACAGAAATCACAAAAATTACTTAAAGTGCTTTAAAAAAATTATTACTTTGGAAACAAGTTTTTGTTCACATCCCAAAACAAAGAAAATGACAGAAAATCAGATAGGAGTGGAAGAGAGGATGAGCTGATTGGGGTTCAGAGCAGAGGGTGTGTGTGTGTGTGTGTGTGTGTGTGTGTGTGTGTGTGTGTGTGTGTGTGTGTGTGTGTGTGTGTGTGTGTGTGTGTGTGTGTGTATGTGGAGGCGGGTAGTACCTTTTGGAGCCCAGCCGAACGATCGCAGGCTGTGACGGCTGAGCGCTAACAGGCCGCTCGCATTTCCTGTGTTTATGTTTCCCTGGTTCTGACAGAAAGGGACAGAAACAGGAAGTCAGGAAACGTTCAAACAACCGATATCTGTGTTGATCGTTATTGTTTATTTCTAATACAAGAAATGTTTAACTGTGCGTCCCTCTTGAGCGGGAATAAGGACAAAGCAATTGTTGCCACTAAATCTTTGTTCATATTCCCCATAGAAAGTATTCTTGGTTCAGAGTTTCTGTTTCTGAAACTGACACACTGCTGCTAAAAAAGAAAATCTGTTTTCCTCGTTCTGTAGAAAACGTTCTTGTCTGAGACTCATGTCTTTAACAATGCTTTCTAAATGGAGCTTCCTTTGTGTACTCTTCAGTTTTCGATAGAAAGTACTCCTGACTCAATCATGTTGTGATTCCACTGTGTTTTTGTCTTTTTAGTGGAGATGCTGCTGACATTTATTATCTTTGTCTATTCTGGGCTGGTTTTCTTTCCTTTAGAAACTCCTGGCTCATTGATTCTGAAACCAGGCTAACACCTGACCCTGGAAGCTTGGGGCCAGGCTAACACCTGACCCTGGATGCTTGGGGCCAGGCTAACACCTGACCCTGGATGCTTGGGGCCAGGCTAACACCTGACCCTGGATGCTTGGGGCCAGGCTAACACCTGACCCTGGAAGCTTGGGGCCAAGCTAACACCTGACCCGGGATGCTTGGGGCCAGGCTAACACCTGACCCTGGAAGCTTGGGGCCAGGCTAACACCTGACCCTGGATGCTTGGGGCCAGGCTAACACCTGACCCTGGAAGCTTGGGGCCAGGCTAACACCTGACCCTGGATGCTTGGGGCCAGGCTAACACCTGACCCTGGAAGCTTGGGGCCAGGCTAACACCTGACCCTGGATGCTTGGGGCCAGGCTAACACCTGACCCTGGATGCTTGGGGCCAGGCTAACACCTGACCCTGGAAGCTTGGGGCCAGGCTAACACCTGACCCTGGAAGCTTGGGGCCAGGCTAACACCTGACCCTGGAAGCTTGGGGCCAGGCTAACAGCTGACCCTGGATGCTTGAGGCCAGGCTAACACCTGACCCTGGAAGCTTGGGGCCAGGCTAACAGCTGACCCTGGATGCTTGAGGCCAGGCTAACAGCTGACCCTGGATGCTTGGGGCCAGGCTAACACCTGACCCTGGATGCTTGGGGCCAGGCTAACAGCTGACCCTGGATGCTTGGGGCCATGCTAACACCTGACCCTGGATGCTTGGGGCCAGGCTAACACCTGACCCTGGATGCTTGGGGCCAGGCTAACACCTGACCCTGGATGCTTGGGGCCAGGCTAACACCTGACCCTGGATGCTTGGGGTTAGCCTCCAGGATGGCGGACCGCAGCCACATATCCAGCCCGGCTCAGGGTTCCAGACACCCGGCTGTTTTCATTCCTCCAGCGAGCTGCAGCTCTGCTTCATGCCGAGACCATGGCTCCAAAACAAAGGCTCCACACAGCGGGTCACCTCGACTCTCACAGCCGCCGACAGAAGCTCGTTTCTGGCATTTAGTCCTGGAGGAAGACGGTTTAAAGCGCCGGTCTGAGGCTCCGTCCTGAACGCGGGGGACGGGCTTTAGCTTAACGGCTAAGATCCAGCCGTCTCACCTCGGCGGTGCGAATCCCCACAACCCCTCTTCGACCAGGCAGCTCTGGCTTCGTCGGACATGAAGTTGGGGGTTCAGCTCCGGGATCAGGAGAGAGGCGGGCAGCGGTGGACTGCCGGATCCCGACGGTAATCCATCTGCCGGACGAAAGGACCCCCCGACACGGCTCTGAATTAGACGGCTCCAGAACCACGGCAGCCCACAGGATTTACGGACTCCATCTTCTGCACCGGCGTCATTTCCCTTCTGGGCGGAACTGAAGGGCGGCGAGCGGAGCGCCGAAGATCGTGTGTGTAAGAAGATGCGTCACTACAAATGGAGAGGAAAAACTATTCCCGACCCACTCAATAAGTTAGAACAGCATTAAAACGTGTATTAATTTCAGTAACTGAGACACTTTATGTTGATTAGTTTTATACAGACTGATGTTTTCAAGAGTTGGTTTCTGTTATTTGGGATATTTTTTTGCTTACAGTCAATGAAAAGATGACATGTAAGATCCGAATATTACATCAATAACAAACAAAATATTTAATTTAAGACGGAAATGTTGACTTAGTGAAGAATATATTTAATATCTTCATAAAGGTTGTTATTTTAACCTGACAAAGGAATATAATTGGAACAATATAAATATGATGGATGGATGGATGGATGGATGGATGGATGGAGGGATGGATGGAGGGATGGATGGATGGATGGATGGATGGATGGATGGATGGATGAAACTACATTTTAATAATCAGTTTTGAAAAACAAATAGATGGCTGAAACTACATTTTAATAATCAGTTTTGAAAAATAAATAATTATCTCATAAGCAGACTCCAACTTTCTTCCAGTTGTTGTGTCAGACCCTGTAGTATATGTACTTGAATGTACTTTTTAACTATTGTACATTTGCTGAGAAAATAGAATCAATAAAAAGAACTACAAAATGGCCTTTTGAGAACTACAAATCGTTCTCAAATGACGTCACTTTCTACTGACGGACCCCAAACATGAGAAACATTATATTTATTCAAATAAACTTATATTTACAGAATGCAGGCTAGCGGATAAATGTTCCAGTTTCCTAAGAAGCGGGTGTTGATGAGGAAAAAGCGGTGGAAAGCCGAACCGAGCCGAGCCGAGCGGTGATAAATTGCATCAGCCGTTCAGGAAGGACCCCGTCGCTCCAACGGGGAGTTTCTCTTTAAAACAGCGACTTTTCCCCTATCGGTTTAGTTTAACCGGTTCGTATTTTTTTGAAAATTACCAGGAGTGAACATGAATATATATACACATGAATAAAAAATAAGTGATTATCTTTGTTCACGGATCAGGCGGAGCCGCCGCCTCTTCCGTTCCCTTTTCATCCAAGATGGCGGGGGATGAGTCTGGTACAACGCTCGGTCAGCCTCACCTGGCCAGGCAGGACCTCGGCACGTTGGTGAGCCTCCTTTTAACCGCCTCCACGGCTTCACGGTCCCCGGCTGTTACTCCGGGACGGTTATTGGGCCGAAAGGAGGTCGGGGAAACGCGGGAATGGTTGTGCTGAACGGTGGCCGGAGCAACGCCGCTTCCACCCGGCACATGACGGCAGGCCCAGCGGGGAAACGGAGCTCCCCTCCGCCGCTCCTCGGCCAACCGAAATATTTACGTTAAGAGTCTCCGAACCTCCGTTTCTAGTGTCGGTTATGTTTGACATGTCTGGTTTCCACTGAGGATCATCTGCGTCCTCAAACCAGTCCTAGTCCCAGTCGGATCAAAGCATACGCGATATATGCGTCTGGTTCCCTGGTGGGTGAAAATAACAGGGAGAAAAGGAGGAAGTTTAAACCATCTCTCTGTCCAGCTTTCTCCTAGTACAGCCAGACGGAGATCTAAAGAGAAGCAGCAAAAGCAAAGGAGGTGGATTAGCGGAGCTAACCACTGATGGTATCCTCCTGGACATGTCACTGTAGAGTACGATCTCTGCTGTCTAGATATTTCCCGGAAACTCGGTTTAAAATGTTGGTGTGTTTTAATAGTTTGGTTTCTTTAGATCAAAACAGTCCTGACTTCTTTCCCAGAGATGTGAAGGTAGTTTGGTTTGTTTTGCGTCACTGTGCTGCTCCAGGATTAGAAACAGGAATGCTGCTGCTCCCTCCAATCCCTCATTGTGTCCTCTGTCTGTCTCTCTGCAGGACGTGTCCACCTTAACTCCTCTGTCTCCAGAGATCATCAGCAGACAGGCCACCATTAACATCGGTACTGAACTCATTCTGTTTCCCCGTCGTTATGCTCGGTGATAAATGCATTAAAATCTGTATTTTTCTCTGGTTCCTGAAGGCACCATCGGCCATGTGGCCCATGGAAAGTCCACAGTAGTGAAGGCCATCTCCGGCGTTCACACCGTCAGGTTCAAGAACGAGCTGGAGAGGAACATCACCATTAAGCTCGGATATGCTAACGCTAAGGTTTTTAACTTTTAATTACTGTCATTCATTAAGAAATCCAGGTGACGTCTTGAATCTCCATACAGTTGCCATCTGTCAGTGAGGCTCAGGAACCAGACTACCTGCCGAGTGTGACTGCTGTCTCTCTCTTTACGCTCCTTCTTTAACGCTACAGGTCTACAAGCTGGACGACCCCAGCTGCCCCAGGCCCGAGTGCTACAGGTCGTGTGGCAGCAGCACCCCTGATGAGTTTCCCACAGACATCCCCGGCACCAAGGGCAACTTCAAACTGGTCCGGTAAGGCTGTTCCCAGCTTTTAAAAATAGATTCATATTCAGATAGGACGCCACTTACTTCATCATCATTATCTGTTTGTTTTTGGAATCTAAAGTAATCGTTGGATTCAGAGTTGCTTAACTGAAATACAGTCCCAGAATTTATAGTTTCTACAATTTTTCATACCAGTATCACTCATTTCCATTCCTTAATAATGAAACGTCAAAACACTGATTAAATATTTATGTCCTGATGGATCAATAGTAGCATCAATAACGTAATCAATAATATTGAGATTAAAATAGAATATACTTTATTAATCCCCAAGGGGAAATTGCTTAAAGCAACTCCATCTTATGTGATAAATATAAAGTTTGTAAAATATATATCTACCAAGGGTAATAAATTCATCACACCTAAATTCATACTAATGTTCAGATTAATAATCTTTAACATCTTTAACATTTACTTTTCTTTTTTACACTTCGTCAGCTGGTTCTGGTTGTAGTTTAAACGGGTCAGCTGGTTCTGGTTCTGACTGAAGTTCTTTCTCTGACAGACACGTATCGTTTGTGGACTGTCCCGGTCACGACATTCTCATGGCCACCATGCTGAACGGCGCCGCCGTTATGGACGCCGCCCTGCTGCTGATCGGTGAGTCTGGTTGTTGGCGGCTCGTTGGCGCCCCCAGCAGGGGTCCGGTTGTAACCGGTTCTGGTTCTGTGTTCGTCCAGCGGGGAACGAGTCGTGTCCTCAGCCTCAGACGTCGGAGCATCTGGCTGCCATAGAGATCATGAAGCTGAAGCACATCCTCATCCTGCAGAACAAGATCGACCTGGTGAAGGAGAGCCAGGCCAAGGAGCAGTACGAACAGATCCTGGCCTTCGTGCAGGGTGGGTTGGTGTGGTTGGAAAGAAGTGAAATCTGACCAAACATCTCAGCTTTAAAGTCTCAGATTAAGCTTTCTTTTTCTGGCTTCCATTAGTTCACCTCCACATTTGTTTGACACATTACTAGAATGTCATGTTCTCTCATCTTTCCTATTTTGAGGCGTCACCAAGAGAAATGCGCTTTTGTCACATTAAATTTCTAGCTCAAGAAACAAGAACTGCTGAATCACCAACTAAAAGTTAATGTTTCTCTAGCTAAAAACATGCTAATAGCTGGTATGATTGACTTCCTGCTGTTTCCCCTGCTAATGAATAGCCAAGGCTTCGCCTGCTAACAATCATCTAATGTTTTCATGAAAAGATTTCCTGCAAATGTCTTGTTAAAGTGTCTGTAGCTAATATTCTTCCTGCTCGAGGTCCTTCTACTAATGGTTCTGCTGTTTTTGTTGCTAACGTTTATTTTGCTAACGTTCCTTCTGCTAATGGTTCTCTTGCTAACGTTTGTCCTGTTTCTCCTGCAGGAACCGTTGCTGAGGGCGCTCCCATCATTCCCATCTCTGCGCAGCTCAAGTACAACATTGAGGTTGTTTGTGAGTACATCGTGAAGAAGATTCCCGTTCCCGTCAGAGATTTCACCTCCGAGCCGCGGCTCATCGGTAAGAACGGACCTGGCGCTGCTTCTGTTTCCATCGGTGTGTTTCTAACGTAAACGGCTTCAGTCATCAGGTCGTTCGACGTGAACAAGCCGGGCTGCGAGGTGGACGACCTGAAGGGAGGCGTGGCCGGAGGCAGCATCCTGAAGGGCGTTCTGAAGGTCAGGGCCACAGGTTTAACCGCCGGCTGTGATGTCACAGTGTGATCTGAACGTCGTCCGTCCGTTCGTCTGTCCTGCAGGTGGGCCAGGAGATCGAGGTCCGGCCCGGAATCGTCTCCAAGGACCAGGAGGGGAAGCTGATGTGCAAACCCATCTTCTCCAAGATCGTGTCTCTGTTTGCTGAACACAACGACCTGCAGTACGCCGCCCCAGGAGGCCTGATCGGTGAGAGAACCAGAACCAGAACCAGACTCCTCCATGGAGGAACGGTTCAACAGGAATGATCTGAGGATCCATGGAGTCTGTCTGACTCCTGCAGACTGAATCAACACATCGATGTCGTTCAGTCCAGATGCTTGGAGCTTTTCTCTCTTCTTTCACCCTCACTTGTTTTTCCTTCCTTCCTTCATGCTGTACTTCTGTCCTTCCTTTGCTCCTTGTGTCTTTCCATTCTCACTTCCTTCCTTTAAACCTTAATTCCTTCCTTTCTTCCTTTTTTCTTGTCCTACTTGCCTTTCCTGTTTTTGTCATTGTCTGTCCTTCCTAATGTCCTTCTTTCTGTCCTTAATTCTTTTGGGTTTGAATGATGACGGGTCGGTGTCTGCAGGTGTTGGGACGAAGATCGACCCGACGTTGTGCCGGGCCGACCGCATGGTGGGTCAGGTTCTGGGAGCCGTCGGCGCGCTGCCGGAGATCTTCACAGAACTGGAGATCTCCTACTTCCTGCTGCGGCGGCTGCTGGGCGTCCGCACCGAGGGTGACAAGAAGGCCGCCAAGGTGAGCCGTGCATCATGGGAAACCCGTTCCCGCCTCTTCCGGTCTCTGACCCGATCCCTCCGGCCGGCAGGTCCAGAAGTTGTCCAAGAACGAGGTTCTGATGGTGAACATCGGCTCGCTGTCGACCGGCGGCCGCGTCAGCGCTGTGAAGGCTGACCTGGCCAAGATCGTCCTGACCAACCCGGTCTGCACTGAGGTCGGCGAGAAGATCGCGCTGAGCCGGCGTGTCGAGAAACACTGGCGGTGAGACGCAGCACAACCCAGACCTGGTTGTGCTGTTTGATTAGAGCTTTACATCAGGTTATCATGTTTTCCCTGCAGTGTTGCTTTGAATCCTTCATGCATGTTTGAGAAATCCTTTAATCTCCATGGCAACCACTCAGCTGCAAATTGCCTTCCAGGTGCAGCTCCTTCAGACTAGCCAGCAGCAATTAGCAAACACCTGGAGAGCTGCAGAGCTCATCATAGGAGCTGCTGCTCAGTGAAACGCTGCTAAAACATTAAAGGGTTAACAGAGGAGCCATCTTGGCATCACTTCCTGGAGGCGGAGCTTCAGGAAGAGCAAGTGTGTTTAAAGAGACAGAGGCGCAATTTCAAGGCATTAAATTAAGAATCAAGTGACATTTGATATATAGCATTTTCTATAGCATACGTTAGCGTAGTGACTTCATTGTGCTATAAAATGGCGCATTGTATGTACTGTACATGTACATACTGCTAAATGTGTTAATAGAGAATCTACAACTTAGTTACAGGAAAACCGTTTATCTGCCGTCATCTCTGGCTATGCTAACAGGCCTAGCAACAGACTGTGCTAGCTACTCACCACATGGTGGGTGATTGACAGCACTAAGACCCGCCTCCTGGCTCTGATTGGGTGTTTCTAGTTTGCACTGCAGGCAAATATTGTAAAGAGAAGTATAGTTAATAAAAGTCGCATCGTGCAACTTTAACATTCAGAAAGACAAGCAGAATGAAATGTTGACGCCGTTTCTCGTCTGTCAGTCTCATCGGGTGGGGACAGATCCGGAGAGGCGTCACCATCACACCAACCGTCGACGACGACTGAGACGACGACGCGCCGCTCCTTTAGGATTTTTCAGTTTCATTTTTACAGCTGGGACATTTCACAGGTTTATAGACGTCACCTCTGCATTTGAGGAGACGAAGGACGCAGGAGGAAGAGGAGTCCAGTCGGTGGCTGGCCTCAGATTTCACAACCAATAAAATCTATTTGGAAGGAAGTTCAGAGTCTTTGAATTATTCCCTCATTAAATAACAATTGTTTTTAGTTTTATTTATTCTATTCATTTGCAGTTTAAATGACTTTGTCACATGTTGACAGAAACAAAGGTTTTGAATGAAAAGTTGTTGGTCTGGTGATAATTTGTAAATTCACTATACCATAAGTTTTGATCGAACATTTTATTTTCTTAAAAGTAAAATTGATCTACTCTTTGTTTTCTTTAGATTTTGTTTTAGTTCTGACTTGTGGATTTTTTTTTTTGAATAATTATATTTTTCTGATGTTTGAGGAATCCGTCATTTCCAGGAAGTTGACACTGGAGGACAGGAAGTTCTCGCCTGGGACTCTTATTAAAAAATATTTTATAAAAACTTGGAATATTTTTCTAATTTATGAGATGTTTAAACAGAAATGAAGTCAGACTTTTAAGATTATCAAAGCTTAACGTCCAGATTCTGTTTTAATTCTTATTTGGATCTATAATGAAACAATAAGACATGAATTTATTAAAGCTCTGTTCATGTTTTCCTCCGGACTGCCGGTGATTCTCCGTTTCCTCCTCATAAACTAAAAATGTGTCCGTTTCTGTGAATAAAACCAGCTTTTATCTGATCATTTATTAAACACGCAGCAGCTTGCCAACATAAGAAACTCGAACTGCTTTGGTTTTCATTTTTTCAGCCTTGTGTTGCTCACATCTTCATTGGTCAGAGCAACGCGTCACAAACCAGTGGGCGGGGCTAAAACTGCGATAGACAACGCGATTGGTTGAGCTGTAACAGATCGATCACTTCTTATAGAAAGGTAGTTATATTGTTGACGCCTTTAAAATGTTAGTTTTCATGTTAATACAATATAAATATCTCCATAAAATAAACATTTATAATATTATACAGTGAATTGTGGAACTTTGTTTATTGTTTTATTTATTAATCTGATTTAATCTGCTTTTTTCTTCTATTAAACATTTATTTAAAGCTGATTTGGGTTTAAATCAATAATAATAATAAAGTTTTTTTTTCCAGCCCAAATCAACTTTAAATAAATACTTTTTTTTCACTTCAACCAGAAATGAGTAAATAAATGAACAGAGATTCCATTTATAGATTCTACCTATAGCTGATCAGTTGATCAGATGATCATTGATCTCAAAGCTCGAGATAAACATTTACAGAAGGGGTTGCCGCACTTCCGGGTTGATTCACCTGACGAGCACGAGACGTGACGTCGCGCAGGTGACAGGTGTTCCTCCGCCGAGGAGAAGAGGCGATTTTAAAAACGCTTAAATGTCGCCAACAAACCTTTCATAGGAACAATGAAATCCAGACTTCATTTGGCTTTTTCTGGGTCATTTATGTTCTCATGTGATTCCAACCGAACCGCGGAACCGAACCGAACCTCCGGCAGAGAGTTAAATCTTTAAACTATTCCGACTTGAAACTGACATGGAGGCTGCAGGTAAGATCTGCTGAAACATTACTCAGGTTTTATCTTTTCTGCATTTTCATCTTTTAATTTCCAATAAACTTAAAAATTCTGTTTAATCTGTGAGCCGAACATATTTTTATATTTATTAAAATGCATTTTTATTCTAAATGCTCATCAACATGCAAAAACAGGTAAAATATTTGTATTTATAGGTTATTATTTTTCATGTTTATGGGAGGCAGCCATGTTGGTAGAGAAGCAGCTTCGCTCTGATTGGTCGCCAGGTTTATAGACACATTCTGGTTGTTCTGGTCTTTGGAGGGATGGAAGAACCAATCCTGACACATTTTACTGTGGATAAAAAAACACCCCTCAGCATAATGCTTCCACCTCTGTGCTTGACTCATAATCTGCACTTTATGTTGATTTTTCCTGAGTTATTTAGATGTTTACTGTTACATTTTGTAGAAAAAGACAGAATATTTGTCTTTATGTAGCAGCTTTTGCATTTTGGGGCCATTTTTTAAAGTTTTGTAAAGGATTATTTTCCCAGCTGAGTGATGCTACCTTTGCCCAGAGGGTCAGCGGGGGCGAGACGGAGGCAGCCAGAGATGGTCCCCCCTCGACGTCATCATGAGTCAGATCCGCAGGAAGCGCTCAGCAGCAGACAGGAAGCCCCTGGGCCGCTTCCTGTCGAGAACCTCAGAGCGGACGGCGATCCCTGAGGACGCAGAGTCCGAGAACAGAGGACAGAGTCCAGGTGAGAAATAAAACCAGCTGCAGAGAAACTGGCATCAGGTTTCATGTTAAAGAGCCTCCATTTATTGACAATGAGAAACAATATTTAAATTCCTGTCGATGACGAGAACACAAAGTGGAAAAGTGTTCAGCCTTATAAACGTTTAAATTTGTTCAAAGCATTATAAAAGTCAAAGCAGCAGAATATTTCCCTTTTATTTTCCTGAACCTTATCAAGCAATTCCAGATGAGTCTGTTGACAAACTCAGAAACAATCAAACATTTTTGTATTTGTTTAGCAGATAACATTTTAAATTACTTTAAGAGTGAAAAACGGTTTTAACTTCTCCCACCTGAATCCATCTAACTGAACTAGACTTGTTTCTCATATCGACCTTTAAATAAATCCTTATCAATAAATCCTTAATAAATCTTAATGCAGTTTAATTTCAAACCACTTTAGGATAAGCTTTTTACACAAGCGATGCTGTTCTGAGCTCAACTAAATCATAAAACTTTTAAAACATGTAAAAAATATTTCATCAATTGGATGACAATAATCAGATGCAGTTATGATTAGGATAGCTTTCTTTAGGAGGTTTTGTGTCATGTAAATGATTTATTTTACTTTAGATTTTACATCAAAATGAACCGTCCTGTGCAATTTAAGACTTTTAACCCAAAAGTCTGATTTCATACTGTTGTTTCTATAATGTTTATCATCAGTTTATTTACTCCTTACCAAATGTTACACATTTTGTTTTGCATTATTTAGTGATACTTGTAATTCTCCAAACATAAAGTGTTGGTGTGAAACAGAGTCTGTAGAGTTACAGGATCAGCAGCTGTTTTTGTTGTTGTTTTGTCCAGGCGCTGCGGCGCCGGCGGAGAGCCAGCGTGATGCCGGCTGGGGAAGAGTGTGTGTTTTCCTGCAGAAGTTGGGGAAGAAAGCGGACAGTAGGAGTCTGAGTCTGGCTCACTGCGATCTGACGGCCACAGACCTGCTGGAGCTCGGTATTCACTCAGAGTTTCTGCTGCTCGGATTTGATCAAACCGTCGACTGGAAGCAGGATCACCGCTCCACAGAGCTGAGCGCAGATTTTATGAGACGTTTGACTCCATCAGTGTTTGAAATAATCATTTCAGACGGTTTTATAACCAACAGCCTCAAAAACAAACCACAACCTGATCAGATCAGATCCAGGTTTCAACCATAGACTCTTGTTATTCATCTGGATTCACAGGAATTTTTTTTGCTTTGCTCATAGCGAGTAGTTTCATGCAGTCAGTATCTTATCTGCAGTGGAAAATATGTTTTTTAGTTTGGAGAATAATGTAATATAATATAATTCCATATAACTGAGTGAATTTTATTTGTTCCACAAATAAAAACTTGGATTTGAGAACTACACCACTTCACACTGAGTTTTAGATTTGATAATTGTTCATTCTAACTAGTTTTGATCTCCTTGGTTCTTTATCTGTGACGTTTGAAACCTTCCAAAAGACACAAAGTAAAGCTGAACGCCATCGCTGACGGCGCGTTTGTCCTTTTAGCATCGCTGCTCCAGTTCCTCCCTCAGCTGGAGGAGATGGATGTCTCTTGGAACGAACTGATTGGTGGCAGTCTGACAACATTGACCTCTCACCTCCAACATGTGGGCGGGATCAGGACGCTGAAGCTCTGCAGCTGCAGGCTGAACGCAGACGATGTCGCCGCGCTGGGTGAGTCTTCGGTTAAAAGCCGAACCGTCCAGTCCTGACGCTGTTAGCAGTTTAGTGCTTATTTCCTCCAGATCTGATCTGGAAAAGTCTTTCTACACCAAACATGTCATTTTCCTTTTTGGCCACATCGTGATCGAATGTTCTCGACTGATGAATTGATGAAATCCATTAAAATATATATATTATTAATGAACAGCCATTTCTGCATCCTTCTGAAAACTAAATAATATACATCATCTTTTCACGCTGACATACTTTGGATGTGCGCTTAAATTAAATAATATTTAAGTGCACAACTGTTGTATTTATGCTCACGTTTAGAGGCCCACAAAATAGGCTGTAGCGGGCCGAATTTGGCCCTTGGGCCTCAAGTTTGACACCTTTAAAGTTCCTATAAGTTTCAGTTTATTTTCTTTATGGCCGGTGAACACAATAACTGAAGTAGAAGGAAAGAAATGCAGGATTTAACACTTCTCACAAACAGAAAACTGAAAAGTGTGGCAGGCCTTTATATTCAGCCCCCTTTACTCTGAAAACCCTAAATAAAGTTCTTCCCCTGTGCGTATGTAGGTGAAGCCCTAACTTCTGTTCCTGTGTTGGAGATCCTCGATCTGTCCTGGAACAGCAGCGTTGGCGGCGTTTTGCAAAGCTTGCTGGGTAAACTTCAGCCATCAGTGAGGGAGCTCCACCTGGTGGCCTGTCAGCTCACTGCGGCGGACGCTGCTGCTCTGGGTAATCATGTCTTCATTGGACCAGCTGATTTTTCTGTTTGCTGGGCTCATCTCAGTCTGCGTTCCCCTTCAGGAGGCCTGGTGGCCGTTCTGCCTAAACTCTGTGTGTTGGACGTTTCCTGTAACCCTCGGCTGACACAGGAAGTGGACGCTGGCGGCTTCAGGCAGCTGGCTGCCTCCCTGTCCCACGCCACCTCCCTGACCGTGCTGCGGCTGCAGGCCTGCGGGTTGAAACCTGACGACCTCGAGGCTCTTGGTGGGAGCAAAACCTCTGATTTCTGATCGGCTTAAACATTTGACTACTTTCTTGTTAGAATTGATTTTCAGTAGAAAACAAATCCTGATGCATCCTGCAGGCAGAGCTGGGTAGAGTAGCAAAGAGGCTGCAATCACCTAAAAGTTCTTACTTTTATTTATGTAAAAGTAAAAAGTAACCAACTGACAAATTACTCTAGTAAGAATTAAAAAGTATTAACTAAAATTACTATTCAAGTACTGAGGAACTGAGCATCTTCAGTCAGAGACTTCTTCAAACTTGCTGTAATGCAGACTGCTACAGGAGATCTTTCCTGCCCACAACATCTGCAATAACTCTAAAGAATTAATGCGTTACAATCATAAAGTATTTTTGAATTTGATCAAAACTTAAATCAAATTTAAAAACTGCATCATCAGACAAACCAAAATATAAAGTAATGTGGAAACTTTTGTATTTTAAAGACCAAAATAAAAAGAAGTCGTATAAATAACAAGACGGCAGAAGCAGTCAAAATACTTTTCCAAATCAGTTTCTTTCAATTTGAAAATTATGAAATTTTATCAAAACCTGTAGGTGTGTGTCTGTTTATGATTAAAACAATTCGTTCTTTATTCAGTAAAGTTACTCACAATGGGTAAAGTATCCAAAAATGTTACTAGTAGTACTTCTACTTCATAATAAAAGTACTCAAAGTAAAAATACTCCTAAAAGTACTTTTTTCCAGTTGCTATAGTAATTCTAATTGAGTAAATGTTACCTGTGGCTGCAGGTGCTTCCCTGCACTGCCTGCCCTCGGTGCGCCAGCTGGACCTGTCCTGTAACAGAAGTATGACTGGAGGCCTGAGCCGACTCGCCTCTCACCTGCCTCACATGGCTCACCTGGAGAGCCTGGACCTCCACCTGTGCCGCCTCAAACGCGTCGACATGGAGGCTCTGAGTGAGTCTCTGTGACCGCCACGGCCAGCAGCCGCTGCAGGCTTCACCTCCTGCCTCTCTCCAGTCCAGGTGCTGCCCTCTCTGACGGCGCTGACGGCGCTCGACGTTTCGTCCAATAAGGAGGCGGGAGGCGCGGTCCACCAGCTGGTGTCGGTGCTGCCGCTGACTCAGATGAGGAGGCTGCCGATGAGCAGCTGCAGGCTGACGGAGGAGTCCTTCACCGCCCTGGGTAAACACCGACAGGCTCACTGCGTCCGCAGCTGGAGCAGATGAGCCCAGCAGTCAGCCAGGGCTCGGCGCCGCTAGCCAAATGTTAGCTTCTAAACCCTAATGCACCACAAAAGGGTAGTATTTAGAGGAAACTAATGCCAAAGCACAACAATGTTGAACTTTATTCACCTGAAAAACCAAGAAAATCAGTGCTTTAGAATTTATCCAGCGTTAGGTGCACTAAATGTTTTCAAAATTGAGAAGTTAAAGGTTAGCTGCACTACTAGCAGATTAGCATAACTATCGCCGCCGCTGGAATCAGATTATTTTATAGCTTTTTTGTAAGCTAGAAACAAGTCTTAGGCCTGAAATCTGGCTGCAGTGATGACCTCTGACCTGAACCTTCAGAGTCACATAAAGTCGGTTCCAAAGCCAAAGAGCATTTCCAGCATTAAATCTAGGTAGACTCATCCATATCTTTGAACGCCTGCTTCCTTTTGGACGTTAAGTTCATACAAGGCCGACACAGTCACCATGTGAATTTCTATTATTGCCTGTCTTCCACTTTTTATTAGTTTAGAAAAGTGGGCCTCTGTTTGGCTCCAAACTGAGCCAAGCAGAAAAACATTAATGACAAAGTTCCTCCACAAACTGATGAACTTAAAAACGTGTCTCAAAATGAATAATATTTTTACTTGTCATATTTGAATAGTAAAAGCTGAGTAAGCTGACAGCCTGGAGGTTTTACTTCCCTCAGCTCTGGTGGCGCCATACCTGCGCAGCCTGGATGTTTCCTGGTGTAAGGTGGTAGGCGGTCGCCTGCCGCTGCTGATGGACGCGCTGCAGCCGTCCGTGATCCTGGAGCTTCGCCTGAGCAGCTGCTGCCTCACCACCGCTGACCTGCATCACCTAGGTAACCAACGCAGTGATTTAGCTTTAAATGAAACGTTCCATCATTCAGGTGAAAACTGCTTTTGCTTTGACACATTATTCATATTTTGGGCTATTTTTAATGCTATACATAATTGCCATGTGATGTCACACTTGCAGGAAGTTTGTAGCTGACAGCAATCTTAAAGGCGTTCATAACATAACAGTTGCTGTGACAACAGGACACAAACCACAGCGTAGCTGGAGCTTTAGCCTTGTTCCTGTCTAATTTATAAAGAATACCAGTACGACACAGCTATTGGTTGATAGCAGTTTTTGAGCGCTGTGCTTTCGTTTTGCTGGTCTGGACGCCATGTTTCATCGAAGCTCCACGCTGCGCTTGGCTACCAAGATGGCGGTTCAGTGGCGCTGCTGTCAGGATCTCGTTGTAGTTGGACTGAATTTCAATTATAACTCAGAGCTACTCTGAAGCTTGTGGCTTAATTATTGTTGTCATAGCAACTGTCATGACCAAGATGGCGGCTGTCTGCGACTAAGCTGTGACCTGTGTACTGAATGATTGACCTTTATTGTTCCCGGGTCAGCTGGCGTGTGCCGACGCGGCTGCGTGTCCTCCCTTCGGGTCCTGGACTTGTCCTACAACGGCTCGGTCGGGGACGCCGGCTGGGCGGCGCTGTTTACGGCGGGCGGCCTGGGCTCACTGGAGGAGGCCGACCTCAGCCTCCGACCTTTGACCTGGGCTCCCTGCTCGGCCTGGCTGCCGGCGCTGCTCGGGGCTCTGCCTCGGATGCCGGCGCTGGCCCGGCTGGCCATGCAGCGCTGGAGCACCGGGCCGCAGGAGGAACAGCAGCTGCGGTTCAGCGTGAAGAACCGGAACATCTGGCTGGACTGGGATCCGGACGGTTCGGACTGGAAGACCAGCAGCCAGGAGGAGAGTCACTCTGAGGAGTAGGGAGGAGGTCAAAGGTCACTTGGATTTCAACAGATCAGAAACAATCAATCATACCTGATTCCTGAGGTCCAAACATTTCAGCTTCTGACTGTTGGAGGCTTAAAGTCAACAATTATTCTCACGTTGCACAAGAAAATAAATTCACAATTATTTAACTTTATTGTCTTTTATTTCATTCTTTTACATTTCGACCTTTTTGGATGTAAATATGCTCCCATTTCCTCTGATGAAATTGTTTCACTGAGTGTTTGATTGCTGCTGTTGTGGGGGATCTGAACCTGCGTCCTGATCGTTATCGTCTATAAAGAAAAGGTGTTTCCTCAAACGATGGAAGAGTTCGGCGAGGAAAACATGGCCGTCCACCTCGTAGGGCCTGACGTCGGTCTGCTCAGGCGTCAGGCGGCCGATGCTGAGCAGCTCCCTGAAGGCCTGAAGGAGGCAAAAACACTTCAATGCCCCAGAAATTAACAGTTAAAGTCTACAGTCATTTTTAACTACTATTCCAGCCAAATCTGGATTATTGCTGCTTCTACCTTAAGTTTATATGAAAAACAAACCAAATAAAACCTTTTTTACTCCTGAAAACCCTCCAGGCTCTGATAGAAATACTTGTCAGTTGTTTTAAAAGCTTCATCTGATGATGGATTACAGCAGAAGTCAACCAATGTTCCCCAGGGTTGAGTTCTGGTCCAGTTCTGTTCACCTCATGTATATAAGAACTGCCTTTTGTTAGCAAACTCCTTAGAATAGGCAACAACAAAGCCTTAACTTTAATATTAGGTCTTTATGAACAGTCTAATTGATTTAAAGTGTTATTAATATTTAGCTCCTATCCTTGTTTTCTTCTTATTTGGTTCGATTTCAGCTGATTTTATTATTTCATAATTTATCCATTTCATCTTCTCTGAGTCCTTCTGTCAGATTCCTGAGGGTGAAAAACGAGGATAGTTTCTAACCGTAACCCTAATAACAGAGGTTTCACCTGGCAGACCGGCTCCTCCAGGTGGTTCCCCCAGATGTAGATGTGGGTCAGAGTGGAGCTGTCGTTCAGAGCCTGGGCCAAGGACAGCAGGCCGCGGGTACCGATGTTGTTTCTGCAGACAGAAAGCCTGGAAAACACAAACTCAGATCCTCCAGTCATCCTGTCGGCTCCTCGGAGACCACAGAAGAAACCAAAACTAAACTGACTCACTCTCTGAGGACGGAGCCCTCGCAGCAGATGGCTTCGCTCAGATACTCTGCGCCAGGGTCTTCGATCCGATTGGACGACAGATCAATGACCTCCAGAGGGCAGTTTTCTTTCAAGACTTTGGAGAGATGCAGGGCGCCATCCCGGCTCACAAGGTTGCTGCAGATGAAAGGTTTGATTTTGCATCCGGGAAGCCTGGTGCTCAGTCAGGGTTTGTATCATAAGCCTGGCGGGCCTCCGGGCTTTACTTCCAGACTAAGCATTATTTTAAATTGAGCTTTTTATACACCAGAAACAGTAAAGATGGACTAAGCCAGGTTAATAGCTGACGCATTGAGCCAATAGGATGGTGGGTCTTGTAACTTTTAACATTTTTTAACACAGAAACATGGCGGGTCGCTGGTGGACTGACCTAACATCTCCACCAGGGGGCTTAGGTGGTTTTCTGTTCGTTATCTTGATCATTAGTTTCCAGACTTCCTGCCTGTATTTTGCTGATTTTCTTCAAACATTGGCTTCCTCTCAAAGTCAGACGGACCCGTCTTACCAAACCTGTTCTGTCAGGTAAATTAACTGAAAATTGGTTGAAAAAACAGTCAGAAACTTCAGGAAGCCTGGAGAACTGATGATGAAGACCTGTCTATGTGTGAAAACATGAGGACCGGGTTTGTACCAGCGTAGGTCCAGGTACCGCAGTCTGTGGTTCAGCTTCAGGCCTTCAGACAGCCTCTCCATGCCCGTGTCTGTCAGGCCCATCTTACCTAGATGGAGCTCCACCAGGGTGCTGTTCACTGGAAGCATCTTCGAGAAGTGAACAGCCCACTCTTCCTGAGACAGAACCACACAGCATTCAGATCAGAACTGGAAACAGAACCTGCTGTCTGCTGGTGGGGAAGTTCCTACCAGGAGGCTGAAGAGCAGCGCCCGGCTCATGTCCACAGACCGGAGGGTGGTGTTGTTCTTCAGAGCGGTGCTGAGGTCAATCATGCTGTGCATTTCCTGGAGGGACAGAGGCAGGGTCAGAGGAAGAACCGCTCACAGTACCAGGAGGTTCTGGTCCACAGGAGGTTACCAGGTCGCACTCGCCCAGCTCCAGCTCCTGCAGCGTCATGTTCACCCGCAGCATGCCGGCCAATTTCAGGCCTCCATTTCTACCGATCTTATTCCCCGATAGCCTGAGAGAGAGCAAGCTGCTGTTACCCTGCAGGACGGAGAGAGATGATCACTTCCTGTTTGCTATTCCCACAGAAAACGATCACTTCCTGTTTGCTATCCCTTTATGAGTGAGGATCACTTCCTGTTTTGGACTGGTGTCACCAGTTCTGCGCCTGGAGGAGAAGATCAGCAGCAGACATTTATCTGACCTACCTGCAGGCTGCTGGCGAGAACCTCGGCTCCATTCGTCTCAATGTTGTTGAAGGTGAGGTCCAGAGATCGCAGCATCATGTCCTGCGCCTGCGCAGCAACACGCATGACAACGACAGCACGCATGACGACAGTAAGAGACATCACGCCAACGCCTGAGCAGGCCTCTCCTCTTCCTCACCTCTAGAAGCTTGGCCAGGTAAGCTGCTCCTTCATCACTGATGTTGTGGTACCCCATATCCAGACCTGTTCAGACGAAAACCGGTGAAAAACACGCCGGGTTCTGGTTCTGTGGATCCGGACCGGGCCGCTCACCTGTAAGGGTCGGATAGTTCAGGAGACATTTTGACAGAGCGAGGGCGTCATTGTCAGTAAGTCTCGGGAAGCCTTTCTGCTTCCTGTTTCCTGCTAGATTCAAGGTGAAACTCCTGCAACGAGGAATAACTGGAGCAGTTTTTCACAATAAAAGCTTCACATTTAATGCGTTACCTTCACTAATTATTAATATTAATATTCAGCTTTCAAATGGCCCCACTCACGATAAAGAGCACAATGTTACCTGAAGACAGATAATGACAGATAAACACTGCAGGCAAACCGTTTATCCACTGTTATTGGAGGCTATGCTAACCAGGCTGAGCAGAGGGGAGTAAGTCAGAGGAGGCACGAGCAGCCTCATGGAGAGTGATTGACAGCACCAAGACCCGCCTCCTGGCTCCGATTGGTTGTTTTAGCTTTTTTCAGATTATCTGTCTCATATTATGCTGTCCCATAATAGTTTCAACAGATATGTAAAAACATATACAGCAGCTTTAACAGTTAAAAGGGTTGTTGCTCATAATACTGATAGTTTTGTACACTTTTACATATTTTGTTGTTACATTACATAAATATTTTGTAAATATATTCTGATATACTGAGTATAACTTTAATTAAATAATTAGAAATTTTACCAGAAATGTATCACCAGTTATAGTTACTAAGGAAGTACAAAACAAAAAAAGTTAGGACATAAGGAAATAAATAAATAAAGGAAGGAAGGATGCAAGAAAATTAGAAGTTAAAGAAAGTCAGTCAGTTCGGCTCTGATTAGTTTTTCTTCAACCAAATATTTAGCATTAGCCCCAGAAGCTAATGTCTCGTCTCGTTAAAAATTCACATTTCAGCCATTTTTTTACCCAGGCTCAAACTCTCACCTTGTCGCCGTTGTTCTCTCTAAGTTTTCTAAAACAAACGGGTTTATAGTAACACCTTCATTGTCACAAATCGCTTTGTAACACTCGGATATAGTCTCAGAGGCGATCACTTTGGCCAGAAACGCCATGGTCATGGCAACAAGGTAGAGTTGCGTCACGCGCTGCGTCAACAGTTCAGGGTTTTTCCCGCCACTGAAACAAAACTGTTTTAAGTTTTAACTTGTATTTTTAGCTGCTGTGCTTATTCACTTGATTCCGTTTTGAATCGTCTTTTGAAATATAAAAACAACAATTTGAATCACACAGAATGAATGTATGTTAGTTCATTTTTTCAGTTTGATGTTTCTGCAGTTTTGGTTTAGTATTGACAGCAATGCTAAAAGCTAATGCTAATAATGAATATTTTTCCACTTTCTATCGAAACAAATCAACACTGATGCATTTTAGCTTTATTTCACATCGTTTTTATTTTTTTCTCATTTTTTTATACATGACCTAACGCAGTTATTCTTCACAACTGTACAAGTAATGATGACATTTTGCAAAAATAAGACCAACTGAAAATGCTTTGTGTACAGCAGTTCTCCAACTAAACAAACACATTCTCTAACAGATGTAGAAACGATAAATAAAACTTTTCCTGGCCCCCTACTTTCTACACAAAACATGGGAAAATAAAAAGATTAATTTCTCTATACACTGATTATTCTACCCAGAATAAAGCTGTAAAATAACAATGAGATTGTTTCAGGTAGATGAAAATAAACAGAGAAAAAAATTTACAGGATTTAACTGAAGCTATTCATAGTTAGGATATTTAGTTTGAAGCAAAATATTGCAAAACTTATCATGTCTTATTAAGTATTAAATTATGTTTTGAGGAGAAAAAAGCTCAAAAATATGTGAATCTCTTCCAGGAAGTCCTGGAATAAAACACTGAAGTGCATCAAGTATGTAAAACATCTGCTGTTCTTATGAATCATCAGGAAATTGATAGAAGCACTAATTAAAACTTTTCTGACCTGCAGACCGGACCGGTACCAGCAGGATTCGATTCTCATCCTCTTGCTCTGAAACAGAAGCCATTTCTTCACTTCAAGCTCACATTTTACTCTTGAATCGACAAATTGATGACGCCATCGTTCAGGAGGAAACCTGCTTTTATGTTTCACTCCAATATTATTTCAAATTCAACTGCCGTTCTGCAGCTGGAAACGTCAAAGTTTCACCAGATTAAAGCCAAACAACCAGAAAACTGACTTTTTCTTTTGTATGCACCAAAATATATCCAACACAAAACAAAACTAATCATGCTAATTTACCCTGCAACTGAAAAATCTAAATCAGCTAAAAAATATGTTTTTACATAGTAATTTATGGAAGAACAAACTTTAAAGATGTTCAT